AGCTCAAGGCTAGCGCTCTACCACTTGAGCCACAGCACCACTTCCAGCTTTTTTCTTTTTGCTTATGTGGTGCTGAGGAATCGAACCCAGGGCCTCACACATGCAAGGCAAGCGCTCTGACACTGAGCCAACTTCCAAGCCCAGTCACTACATATTTTAAGAGAAATAAAATCTATTTTAATCTCTTTACTAAAATTATGTCATGCGGGATATGGTGGTAAATATATATAATTCCAGCTACTTAAGGGGTAGAGATAGGAAGATCACAAGTTCAGGGTGAGCAGGGGAAAGTTATGAGACACTGTCTCAGAAAGTGAATATATCAACAAAACAGCTAAGATTGTTGCTCAACAGATAGAGCACTTTCTAGAAAGCTCAAACACAAGTGCTTCCCCAATATGGCAAAAATAAAATGAAATAAAGTTATGTTACTGTTATCTATTAATAACATATAATCTTTTGGGGAGACACAAAACTAGGGTTTGAACTCAGGGTATTGTACTTGCCAGGCAAAGAGCCATACCCCCAGTTCTTATGCATTTCCTACTTTTCAAATAGGGTCTCATTTCTCTCCCAGGCCAGCTTACACTGTGATTTTCCTGTTTATGCTTCCTCATTACCTTAGATAACAAGTATGCATCAACATGCCCAGGCAGGGATCTCATGAACTTTTTGCTAGCGCTGGCATTGAACTGCAATGCTGATCTTAGCCTCCCAAGTAACTAGGATACAGGTATGAATCACCAAGCCTGGCTAATATATATTAACTTTAGCATAATTTTCAAAAAAAATAAAAATTAGGTACTATATTCAAATTTTCCTCAAAATTGAGACATAGCTTTGATGGGTTCTTGAACCTATGCTAATTAAAGCCACAACTAAATAAATGACACCAATAATTATTACAAAAAATAGGTTAAACTATTCCTATAAGCTCTTTAAACATTATAAATACAGAATTATATTTTTAAGATTAAAAACTTAAAACTACTTACAATTCTTCCCTCATCCCCTTTTTATTTGTACTGGTTCTGGGGATTGAACTCAAGGCCTTGAGCTCTTGCTTGGTTTATTCCACTTAAGGCTCATAACTCTCACCACTTGAACCAGACCTCCTTCTGGCTTTAAAGTGGTTAAAGAATCTCACAGATTTTTCCACCCAGACTGATTGTGAACCAAAGTACTCAAATATTAACCTTCTGAGTAGGTACAATTATGGGCATGAGCCACCAGCACCCAGCTCTTGTTCCCTTTTTTGAAATGCAACCCCTCTGTATACTGACTTAAAGATAATAAAAATAGGGGCTGGGAAGGTGGCTCAGTGGTAGAGCACTTGCCTTGCATGTGTGAGGCCCTGGGTTCGATTCCTCAGCACCACATAAGCAAAAAGAAAAAAGCCAGAAGTGGCGCTGTGGCTCAAGTAGTTGAGCACTAGCCTTGAGCTGAAGAGCTGAGGGACAGCGCCCAGGCCCAGAGTTCAGGCCCAGACCAGCAAAGAAAAAAGAAAAAAAAGAAAGCATAGTTGCCCTCTTTTTATCAGTCAGTCACAGGGCTTGAACTCTGGGCCTGGGTGCTGTCCCTCACTTGAGTCACAGCGCCACTTCCAGTTTCCTGGTGATTAATTGGAGATAAGAGTTTCATGGACTTTCCTGCCCTGGCTGGCTTTGAACTTAAACCTCAGATCTCAGCCTCCTGAGTAGCTAGGATTACAGGTATGAACACTGGCACCCAGCCACAGTTGCCTTTTCAATGCCTTTAAATTTGTATTGTAGGTTTGGAACTATTCTCAGAAGTAGAGAACTTTCCTAACGTGCAAGAGGGCCCTAGGTTTGACTCATGCACGCGTGCGTACATACACACACAAACACCACAAAATAAGTTCCTGTAACTAATCTACATTTTGTTGTTTTTCCTCATCTTCCTCAGACCCTAAAGAAAGCCAAACTATTCCTTAAAACTCGGAGTTAGAGTATATTTAATACCTGCTAGGTGCTGGTGGCTCATGCCTGTTAACCCTAGATACTCAGGAAGCTAATATATGAGGATATAAAGCATAGCCTGGGCAGGAGAGTCCTTGAGACTCTTATCTCCAACAAATTACAAAAAGCCAGAAGTAACCTGTGGTTCAAGTTGTAAAGTGTAAGCAAGTTGTAAAAAGGATAAAAACAAAATATATATTTATAATATATATTATATATTTCAATACCCAAAATATATTTTGCTTCAAAAGTAATTTGAGACAAATGCACTGACCTTTCTCTATATTTGTAATTCCTTACAACAGGATTTTAAAAATATTTTAACATAAACACTAGTCCATACATTAGAAATATATAACAAAATACATACCTTGTTTAAAGAATTAATTTCCATTTCCATTTCATCTATTTCTTTCTTCAATTCAGATGAATTTTTGGTAATATTGTTGAAATTTTTAAGAATATTTTGTGTTTCATGTCTCAAATTAACTCTGTTCATGTTAAGGAACTACATCATTCAAGTAAATTTTACATTTATAAAATAACTAGCACATATTATTTATATAAACAGTACATATTACTGATATGTACATTTAATATAATCAATAAATAGTAAGAATATCTGAAAACAAGATGGAAATAAGCTATGTTGTTTACATATGTTATTTATTGAATTTTTTTGTTTATTATTTTTTTCTTTTGGCTAGTCCTGAGGCTTGAACTCAGCCTGGATGCTATCCTTGAGCTTCTTTGGCTCAAGGTTAGTGCTCTACCACTTGAGTCACAGTGCCACTTCTGGCTTTTTGTAAGTAGTTTATTGGAGCTAAGTCTCACAGACTTTTGCCTGGACTGGCTTCAAACTATAATCTTCAGATCTCAGCTTCCTGAATAGCTAGGATTATAGGTATGACCCACCAGCTTATTGAATTTTGTTTTGTTTTGGTCCTGGGGCTTGAACTCTGGGTCTGGGTACTGTCCCTGAGGTCTTCAGTTCTAGGCTAGCACTCTACCACTTGAACCACACCACCACTTCCTGTGTTTCTGGTGGCTAGCTGGAGATAAGACTCACGGACTTACCTGCCTGATTTGACTTTGAACTGCAATCCTCAACTCTCAGCCTCCTGAGTAGCTAGGATTACAGGTGTGAGCTACCAGCACCTGGCCAGCTTATTGAATTTAAACGTAACATTTCATCCTATATACTCACTAGGATTTTTTTCCTTTCACTTAAATATTTTCACAGCACTGTATTTTTCTTTTCCTTTTTTTTTTTGTGTAGGTTGTGGGGCTTTTTGACTAAGGGCCTAAGCACTGTCCCTGAGCTCTTTTACTCAAGGTTAGCGTTCTACCACTTTGAGACACAGCCCTACTTCTGGTTTTTGAATGGTTAATTAGGAATAAGAGTTTCATGGGAACTCTTTCTACCCTGGCTAGCTTCAAACCATAATTCTGAAATATCAGCCTCCTAAGTAGCTAGGATTAAAGGTATGAGCCACCAGTGCCCGGCTTGTAGTTTTCTTCTTCTTCTGTTCTTTTTATATAAGTTCACTGTGCCATTTGACCATAAGTTCAAATTTAACTTTTTACATTCCAATTATCTGTTCCAAAGTCATCAATGTACCCTGCAGAACTCAGAAGAGCATCCTTCTGGGCTTTGTGTTCAAACTGTTTTATACTCCATTTCAACTAAAGAATTTCTTAGCTATTAATAGATATCCTAGATGATTTTTAGATAATGCAACTTTCTAAGTTACTATACAATCTACTTAAGAGAATTTTAAAATACTCAACAGTGATCAAAATTCTAGAGAGAATTTATCATACCTTCCCAATCCTGCCTTCAAAATATGATTGACATGCTAGCACACAAAACCTCAGGTGAATATGGTGCACCTGAACAACATAACATAAAGCTATGTTATTATCAAACTGGATCAAACTTAAATTTAATTATATTCAGATTCTAAATTCTAATTCTTTGTCTGTACCCATCTCTCTTCTTGCCTGTTATACAACTGTCTATCTCATCCTAACTCACATACAACTCCCTAAATCGTTGTTGTATCTGCCCTTCCTATTGAAAGTGCTCAGATGCACGACAATGAAGAGCTGACCCCCTCGTCCAAAAAAACAACCCAAAATAGAAAAAAACTAGTAGCAGAGGAGTTAGAGGAATGATTTATGAGGGACAGAATATTTACTACCAAGAGTAGAATTATAATCTGATATAGGAAAGCATATAAAGGATTGTGGAGGTTGAAAGAGGACTAAATTTCAAGTTCATTATCAGTGAAGATCTCTTACAAATAGGTGAGATTTAGAAAAATTAAGAATTAAGTATTAAGTGGTAATGAATTAGAATTATTTATTGATATGACTGTTTTCCATGCTAAACTGTAAGCTTAAAATAGCTTCATAAGGGCTGGGAAGATGGCTCAGTGGTAGAGCGCATGCCTTGCATGCCAGAGGCCCTGGGTTCGATTCCTCAGCACCACATAAGCAAAAAGAAAAAAGCTGGAAGTAGAACTGTGGCTCAAGTGGTAGAGCGCTAGTCTTGAGCTGAAGAGCTGAGGGACAGCACCCAGGCCCAGAGTTCAGGCCCCCACGACCGGACCCAAAAAAAAAAAAAAAAAAGAGCTTCATAACTTCTTCAGTATTGCCTGGCACAAGATAGATACGATTACTAATTGTCACAATCTATCCTAAAGACTACTAATCAAGTAATTTGATGGGAGCTTTCTTTGTGAAGGCACAGCAACATGACTCTCTCATTGGTATGGTTGCTAAGACCTATGCCACTTTCCACACACCCCCGCCCAGTCAGTTGTGGAGCTTGAACTTTGGACCTGGGCCTGTCCCTCAGCTTTTCAGCTCAAGGCTAGACCTCTACCACTTGAGCCACAGTGCCACTTCCAGTTTTCTGAGTGGTTTACTGGAGATAAGAGTCTCATAGACTTTCCTGCCCAGGTTGTCTTTGAACCTCGATCCTCAGATCTCGGTTTCCTGAGTAGCTAGGATTATAGGCATGAGCCACGGGTGCTCAACTAAGACATGCCATTTTAAAGGCAGATATAGGGGGGCTGGGAAGGTGGCTCAGTGGTAGAGCACTTGCCTTGCATGCCAGAGGCCCTGGGTTCGATTCCTCAGCACCACATAAGCAAAAAGAAAAAAGCCGGAAGTGGCGCTGTGGCTCAAGTGGCAGAGCGCTAGCCTTGAGCTGAAGAGCTGAGGGACAGCGCCCAGGCCCAGAGTTCAGGCCCCACGACCGACAAAAAAAAATAAATAAATAAAGGCAGATATAGGGGACTGGGAAAGTAGGTCAGTGGTAGAGTGCTTACATGAGGCCCTGAGTTCTATTCCTCAGCACCACATAAGCAGAAAAAGCCAGAAGTGGTGCTGTGGCTCAAGTGGTAGAGCACTACTATTCTTGAGCTGAAGAGCTGAGGGACAGCACCCAGGCCCAGAGTTCAGGCCCCACAACTGGCAAAAAAAAAAAAAAAAGGCAGACACAGGTATCATTTTATTCTCCCTAAAACTTCTTGCTTTTAATCACATAGAAATATAGGAAAATTACAGTTTCTACTATTTGAATGTAATAAAAAATTTAAGTAATCTTTAAAATATGAGTAAAACACAAAAAACAAAGCCACGAGACTCTCATCAAGAAAACACAGTACACAACAATGAAAATACATAAATTATGCATATCAAATAAAAATTATAAGTAAAAATACTATTGTGGATACATATATAATGTCCATTTGGTAAGTGATGAAAAGGGAGCAGGTACTGAAAAACAAAATCATAGTTGAGAGTGAGCTATTACTCTTTTCATTAATAACATACTATAATTAAAGTAACATATAACAAAATGTTAATACCTAGAAATTCCATGAGAATAGTTTCATGTATTTTTAGTTGTTCACTACAAGCCAACACTCTGTTTTGAATTTCTTCATGTTCTCTTTTCTTCTCATAATATTCACGTGAAATATGGTTTTCTGAGTACTTTAGTTGGTATTGCTTCAAAACATCTTTATACTGACTGATATAATCATGATACATTTTTCTATTAAAATTAAAAGAAATAAATTCAAAAAATAAGTATCACTTGCTAAGATCTACTAAATTAAGCACCAAAAGCAAGTTGAATATCTATTTAACTCGACTGTCCTCAATATTGTCTGCTCTTCAGACTTTCCCTTAACCTATCAAACTTTTTAAATATACTCGAAATTATTTACTTCTTAATCTTCTTCAATTTAACTTTTTTTAATGACACCATTTAAAAAATTTATTATAAAGATGATGTACAAAGGGGTTACAGTTACATAAGTAATGAGTATATTTCAACAGTTGTCACTTCTTCCTTAGTTGACTCCTAGTTTTATTCCTGCTAACCCCCACCCCTACAAGCTATATAGTTCATTTTTAACATGATGTCTTTATTAAATTATACTTTGTCTCACTATTTCCAAAATTAAGTCTACAGCTAATTATTCCTCTAGAATTATGCCTATAACTCATAGCAACCCTTAATTGAAGGACTATGCTGTCATTAGTTCTGAGAAATAGTTTATATCTAAGGCACTGTCTAAACAAATTCAGGATTACACAGAGCTTTACAATAAGTAAATGGCACACAAAGCCCAAATTACTATGGTTAGCTAAAAAAAGAACCTCTTTCAGAATTCAAACTTCCTACATTTCCAATTACTATTCTTACAAAGCAAGTCCTAGTAATAACCAATTATATTAGAATTATATTAGAATTGATATACTTAAATTACTTTATTTTTTTATTCTTGGGTTAGGTTGTGGGGCCTGAACTCTGGGCCTGGGCGCTGTCCCTCAGCTCTTCAGCTCAAGGCTAGTGCTCTACCACTTGAGCCACAGCACCACTTCCAGCTTTTTCCACTTATGTGGTGCAGAGGAATCGAACCCAGGGTCTCATGCGTGCAAGGCAAGCACTCTACCACTGAGCGGCACCTTCCCAGCCCCAATATACTTAAATTAATATATGTATTATACTTGTCATTTTCAATAGTTTCTTGATAAACAGTAAACTGGTCCTGCATATAATCTTCATGTTTATGAAAAACATCACATGTTGGCTTCCAACTATAAAAAAAAAGTATACTTATAGTAACCATTTCAGAACAAATTGACAAAGATAATTTTAAATGAAAATAATTGTTTTTAAATAAATGTTTTTACTTAGAAAAAACAAGTTTACATCAAGAAAAATATTCTCATATCTTAAAATCATCACTACTAGCAATCATGTACTCATATGCACAAATACTAACACTTGTACATAAATTTTTTTCCAATGACTAGAGAACAAGTGTGGTACAGCAATGGCATTTTTTCTATTATGTATTATAGTGATACTCTTCAGTTATTATCTCTAACTCCAGTCTTTCTCTCTGATAGCTTTTTGAAAAGATCCTGACCAAGAAATTCTTTTGGAATAAACATTGGAAGAGCTAGGATAGGGTTAAAGAGGATTTTCCTCCTTTTACATTTAGGTTATAGAAAGAAAGAAAGAAAGAGAGAGAGAGAGAGAAAGAAAGAAAGAAAGAAAGAAAGAAAGAAAGAAAGAAAGAAAGAAAGAAAGAAAGAAAGAAAGAAAAAGAAAGAAAGAAAGAAAGAGGGAGGGAGGGAGGGAGGGAGGGAGGGAGAGAGGAAGGAAGGAAGGAAGGAAGGGATGGTAGAAAGAAACTAGGCTAAACTGAATCATAAAATCAGACAGAAAGGCTAAGATGAATGTCTATCACATATATTTTTGTTTTATTATATAGCTTAAAAATACTATCATTATAAAATATATAATTACTATATACCATAATAGTTTCTATTCCAAGATTATTTCAATGTATTTCCTGTTTTTCCTAATATTTCTCAATTGAAAAAGTATACTCACTTTGGAAACACAAAATATATAAGAAAATAATTATCATCAACATTCTCCATATTAAATAACTGCTGTTATTATTTTAATAAATTATCTCCATGTCTTGCTATATGTATATGTTTCAGTGTAATCAAAATCATATTCACATAAACAACTTATTCTCCTTTATTTATTGACCAAAACTTATTTAAATATTTGGCTGATTCTAATTTAACTTAATCTAATTTAATTTGTCTAATATTTTAATTTCTTAGAAAATATCCCCAAAACAGAATTAGAAGTCCAAAGATCATTACATGCATATATTCTGAGCATTTAATGATTATGTAAGAAATAGGTTCATTGAGAAGATAATTTTACTACATGCAATTTAATGTACATCTTTCTAGATTCTCTAGACATATATAGTTATGAATTGAGTTCCTACTATAAACATTTTATGCTTTGCTTTAATTCGTAATGCATCATTCACTTCTTTTCATGTTAAACATACATCTGTTATAATTTCCTTAGCTATTGTGTGTTCAGAAGTATGAATATTTTAATAAGTCATTTACCCAATTAGTGTTGAACATTAAAGAGTTATAGCTAATGTTTTCATATTATAAAAAAAACATTTAAATAGAACTCAAGCAATTCAATAGCAAGAAGACCATAAAACAAATGGGCAAAGGCCTTTAAATTACATTTTCAGCACTCCTTTATCTTGAAATATTTTAGATTGGATTTTCTTACATAAAACTAAGCTTTTGAAAAGTCAAATATCAAATTTATTTCAAATCTAATAAAAATTTTATATCCTAAGCTTAGATTATATTAAAAATTCTGTACTTAGAATGACTAGATTTGAGTCACTGAGATATTACAGCCCTTCCATTTTTCTTTTAAACCATCAATGATCCTTTCTACAATGACATATAACAAAGCAACTGATTTATATGCTAGAAGTATGCCTGCCTAGCAAGCATGAGGCCTTGAGTTCAAATACCATATCGTCAAGCATAAACAAGTGATGATTAAAAAAAAATGCTTAAGCAAAAAAAACATGACAAAGGTTGTATAGATACTACCCTAAGACTAATTCAGTGGTAAGGATATATGCCAATGTCTTATTTTTTTTTTGTCTTTTCTTTTTTGGTACTGGGGATCAAATCCAGGACGTTGTACTTGCTAGGCAAGCGCTTTGCCACTGAGCTACATCCCAGCCACTTTGCCAATGTCTTATGCACAAAACAAAATAAACCGTGAATACCCTGTGCACCAATCCCCAGCAACAAAACTATCTTAGAGCAACAATGTCTTCAACTTTGAGCAAAAGAATCAAATCACAATTATTGAAAGTTCATTTCTTTCAAATACTCACTTATTACAGCTGTCTTTGATTTCCTTACTATGTTTACAATAATGAGTAATTTCTTCATCTGTTGTACTTATGGTTTCATGTATCTTACGAATAGTTTCTTTGTTTTCTTTAATATCTTCAAAACATTCTGAAAGGGAAATGTTTTAGTGTAGAAATCATAAATTCAAAATAAATAAACTAGAAAAAAGTGTATAGCAACTTTCCTAAAAGGCGGTAACCCAGAGAATGTAAAGGAAAAGAGGCCTGAGATGGAAAGGCTTTCACACTAAAAAGTAGAAAACCACAACCAGGCCTAATACATGACCCAGAAGAAGATGGATTTATGTTTTGTGATTTAAGAGAAATAAATGTCCCTTACCCTCATTTTTATTAGAAAGTGGCTAGATTATGCAACACTTCAAGTCAGTCAATCTTTTAATGCTATAAATTTTATTCATTACTGGGTATTAACATAAGACTTTCAGTTTTGACAAATGTGAAATTTCTATTAATCAATTCCACATGATAACTAGATACACCTTCAACTAGTTTGTTATTAATGATCAAATATGAAGATAATTTTGAAAATATTAAAATAATTTAATAGAATATATATTTTTTTGGGGGGGGTCCAGTAGTGGGGCCTGAACTCTGGGCCTGGGCACTGTCCCTCAGCTCTTCAGCTCAAGGCTAGCGCTCTACCACTTGAGCCACAATGCTACTTCCGGCTTTTTTCTTTTTGCTTATGTGGTACTGAGGAATCGAACCCAGGGCCTCAGGCATGCAAGGCAAACGCTCTGCCACTGAGCCACCTTCCCAGCCCTAGAATATATTTCTAATTGCAGAAAAGATAAATTCTACCTTTCCAGAACTAAGAAGTTAACAGTCCAGTTCTGAAAATTAAAATTAAGTTTAGTATATTTAAGAACTTAAAATATTTGTTTAATTAACCATCCAATTTTACTGATACTGTGATTTTTTTTTCAGAATTATCATTCCTGAAAATGTTCCATCTATCTCAATCTTGGTCCCTGATTTTTGGTGACTTCTGAGAAAAAAACAATTCTCTTACATTTGAAACTATCTTGTTATTTGTTTTTTGGTTTTGTTTTGTTTTGGGTTTTTGGTTCCGGTCGTGGGGCCTGAACTCTGGGCCTGGGCGCTGTCCCTCAGCTCAAGCTAGCGCTCTACCACTTGAGCCACAGTGCCACTTCTGGCTTTTTTTCTTTTTGCTTATGTGGTGCTGAGGAATCGAACCCAGGGCCTCAGGCATGCAAGGCAAGCACTCTACCACTGAGCCACCTTCCCAGTCCCACTATCTTGTTATTTGATATTTAAAAAAAAAAAAAAAAACAACTTTTCAATTACACTTAAGTCATCTAGCTAAGAAAACTCATAAGTAATTAAATTCTGAATAAACTAATTTATTGTTGAAAAACTAGTTAAGTCTCGATGTATTACTTAGGGTAAATATCTCATTAATAACCAGTAGTTACAATGCCAACTCTAAGTTATCCTCCACAGGGAAATCATGTATTATGCTATATGCCATAAATCTTAAAAGACTAAAGCATCTTTGCCATATGTAACTACTTACTATTAATTCTTTGAACCATATCTTCTTTAGTACTTCTGTCTTGCTCATACTGGAAAACTAAATTAAAAACAATTATTTTAAATTTTTTGTTGCATTGTTGCAGTCCAATGATAATACAAATAGTTATCTATTTATTTTCATTTTATACCTACCAAATTCTAACAGAAGCTTGTCCAAACTGGCAAACAGGCCGTCGTTCATCTTGGATACTATGTGAAAAAATACATATATTAAGATTTTCTTAAGTCGGGTAGGGAACAGTGTACATAGAAGCGAGCACCTTTCTGATACAGCATACCTCACATGAAAACGTGGTGAACACCCTTTCAGCACAGTGTCTTTCGCCTAGGCCAGTACTGGTGAGCCCTGAGAAAGTGTTAAATAGCTGCTGGGCCTGACTGCTTATCTGAAACTTCCAGAAAGGGTGGGCAACCTTTCTAATTGTCCATGCGTGGACACGGAAATAAGTTTGAATCTACTGGTTTCCTGAAACATGCTTTCTTTTAAATGGAGAAAAAGATCATCAAACTCTACCCTTCCAGAACTTTCCAGAACATATGCTCCTCCCTCCTCCAACACTATTTTTTTTTTAGGTCTTAATTGCACCGATGGGGCAATTTACTACAATTACGACCTGCCCCAGAAACCCCCCCACGTGACCCTGCCACGTGACCCCCGCTGCCCAAGGCCCAGGCAGGCCTCTCCTCAGGGCCACCGCCCGCCCCGGCCTCCCCACCATACGCCGCCCTTTTCCACCCTCCTCAGGGGCCCCTTCGGGCACAAACATCCGCGCTCACTCCGCTCACCCCTCCACCGAGCGAAGTCCTGGATGCCAAGGCCTCAGCGGAGACGCCACCTCCAAGGACGCAGAACCGGGCCTCGCCTTCGACTTGGAAGGCCAGCCTCGCGAGCAGCTGCTGTGGTGAACGAGGCCGCATCACACTCCACGCGAGATCAGCATGGCCACGCGAGACTACAGTGCTGCCGCGAAGCTCGGCGGGCTGGGTGGTGCCCTTTAACCCCGCGGGGACGCGTCCAGGCGCAGGCGTCCAGGCGCAGGCGTCCAGGCGCAGGCGTCCAGGCGCAGGCGTCCCAGGCGCAGGCGTCCAGGCGCAGGCGTCCAGGCGCAGGCGTCCAGGCGCAGGCGTCCAGGCGCAGGCGTCCAGGCGCAGGCGTCCAGGCGCAGGCGTCCAGGCCTGCGCCGCTGCCTTCAGGACTCACGGGTCTCTAGGCAGCCTGCTTGCAAACGTTTCAGTAAGACATAACCTGGGGATTCACAGCAAAATAGATAAGCGCAAGAAGTAACGATTGCAGCCTTAGTCAGAATTCAGCTTTCATTTAACGTTCTCAAAACGTTTACTGAACGCCAGCATACTTCCAATAGAGCATATTTTCTACCTGAAAAATGCTATTGGAAACTTTTATGTGTGTAGACCTTGCTTGTCCCAAGCGAAATAAAAGAATGGAGGGGGAAAAAAAAACCCATTTTAGGCCCCAATAGTCTTAATCTTTTTGAGTTTTGTTGGTTGTCTTTGGATGTGTGTGTGTGTGTGTGTTGTTGTTGTTGTTGTTGTTTTTGGGGGGGGAGTTTGGTGTTTGTTTGGCTTTGGTTAGTTTGGTTTGGTGCTGGAGATGGATCTAGGGCCTCCTGCATACTAAGCCTATAGTCAACTACTGATCTATACCCTTTCTTTTAATTTTGTATATTTCTGGTAGAGACATGTTTTAATCCTAAATGATCTCAATAATTACCTCAGCTCACCACATCCTAAATGGTTTCATATCATGAAAAGCAATGTGCATAAGTTTTATTTTCTATTTAGCCCTGGTCAGCTATCCATAATCGATTTTATTATGTTTTTTTTTTTTTTTTT